CATCCATTCTGCGCAAGTTATTCATTTCTCAGCCTCAGTAAAAAAATATTTATCAGAAAATTGCATAGAAGCAGCTAATATAATATATAATGTACATTTTTGCTGCAGTACTCTTCACTTTATTACAGCCCCCATTCTTTTCCTCAAAGAATCTGCAGACGCACCTCCAAAGTTCAGTCTTAGAAGCTGGTTGATCATTTTCTGAAGTAATCAAACACATTCAGTGGTGTTGAGGTCTGGACTGTGGGGCGGTCAGTCCATCGTTCAGCTTCTTTGTTTGATGTGTCCGTCTCCTTTTCTCAGTGAGGTTCTTCTTGACAGCTACACATCCTTTCAGACCCACAGCGCTGAGTCGTCTTCTCACAGTGGAAGGATGGACAGAAACACCTGTGGATGTTTTCAGATCTGAAGCAGCTTGATTTTCTCCTCTCTCTCAGAGATGAAAGCTTTAAGTGCTGTTTATCTGATGGGGGCAGTTTTGGGGTCGACCAGCTCTTCCAGGTGGTTGTTAGGAGCCCCATGTTCTCTGTAGATTTTAATGAGTTTTTGAACTCCAGTTTTGGAAACTATTGTTTTTTTTTTTTTTCCCACTTATTTTATTTTGACTTTCTCCTTCATTATGCAAGCACATTATCTTATATCTAATCTCCTTAGAAACATCTCCTGAAAATTAATAACATGGCTGAACTATAATTCTGAACTAAGGCTTACATTTTATATTGTAGGCATATTTCCTCATGTATAGCAGTAGAAGTAGTAGCAGAGCTGGTTTATGAGGATTCTGATCTCTTCCTATTTCCTCTATTATATCAAAACATGGCTGGTAAATGCAGCTAAACAGCTAAAAACGAAAAGTTAAAATAGTTTCTAATCACTCGCCCAGAACTTTCCTCTAATCTTAGAAAGGAGAAGAATGTATTTCACTAAAAAAACAAAGAAAACTCACCTGTATGTTTTTTCTACAGTAAACAGGTTTGGGGCAGCAGGATGTTTAAATTACTGCTATCGAGAGCTGATTGGTTAGCATTACTGCTACTGAGTGCTGACTGGTTAGCATTACAGCTACTGAGTGCTGATTGGTTAGCATTACTGCTACTGAGCACTGATTGGTTAGCATTACTGCTACTGAGTGCTTATTGGTTAGCATTACTGCTACTGAGTGCTGACTGGTTAGCATTACTGCTACTGAGTGCTGATTGGTTAGCATTACTGCTACTGAGTGCTGATTGGTTGGCAAGCAGAGCAGCTCATTGGCTGTTGCCGCTCACTGACATCATGAATATGCGTGAGGCCCCGTTTTAAACTCCTATAACTCGAGTTTAAAAGCTCTTAAAAATATAACAGCAGTGTTAAAATGTTTTATGCTGTTCAGTGTTCAGGAAATAAATGTATTCTTTTACATTAAGAATGTTTAAGCATTAGCCTTCCGCCCAATGACAGCTGGGATAGGCTCCAGCACCCCACCGCGACCCAGAAGGATAAGCAGTTTAGATGATGGATGGATGGATGGATGGATATTTAAGCATTAAAAACTATGATTTTGTTCAAATGTACCACTTTAACCTGTTCATTTTGGACACAGTCAGGAGCGCCCTCTAGTGTTTGAGAAACCCGGAAGACGTTACAGAGTGGGAATTCTCCTTTCTGTCAGTTCTGTGGTAGTAGTGTAATTATCCTGGCCTGGATAAGAGTGCATTGTTATTCAGCAGGTAGCGTCTGTAGCTGTGCTGGATAGTTGAGAGCAGATATGAGACGTCTCTTTAATTGCCTTTGTGTAACTCTGAGCACTCTGCTATTAGTCATATGGTCAATAGTCCCTGTGTAATCACTTTGTATGTAATTAAGCTCAAAGAGCAGCTCCCCCAGCGTCTTTATTTCCTTTCTTACTGTTAGCACGATCTGAACTCACGGCTCAGACTCATCGCTTCTTTCACTGCTTTCCAAAAACAACAGCTGTGCAGTCAAAGGGTAACATTAACAGAGCTAATAAAATTTTGATAATTTACATCAGAATGCATTTTTATGAGGAATAAGCTCAACAAATAAAATGTCTGTGCATATAATCTGAAGTGTGTCTGGAGTGTTTCGCATCATTGTCATTTTTTTAATGTGTAAACTGTCTAATACTCCATATACAACACTCAGAAGCTGGGAAAGCACTTTCAAAGGGGAAATCCATAGATTATGTTTTAAATTTCTGCATAATTGAGTGTGTGAGGTGTAAACAGAGTGATTCAGAGTGGTTTGGTGTGAAATGGTTCAGATGTCTTTACAGTGGTGGTGATAGGAACCAGGGGTCGCCATGACTACAACACAAATATAGACATTTTATTTACTATCCAGAACCACCAGTGAACCTACACGAGTCTTCTGAGTTTATATGGAATGTTGATGATGGAAAATAGTGGAAAATCTGAAATAATAAGTTTTCATTAGGGACTATTTTGCCTCACAACACCTTGCATATTATGTATCCCTCCACCATGAGTGGATTTCAAGGCCAAAATCTTCTCAAATCTATCATAAAACAGAGTCTCAGTCATCAGGCAGTGAATTCATAACCATTTCATGTAGTAAGTTTCTGTGAGGGAGCTTTTAGAGGTGGACGTCTGGTTCCTATCACCACCACTGTGAACAGTTCTGACTTGGTAAGTTTCTTTAGAGCAGAGCATTTCACACCAAACCCCTCTGAACCACTCTGAACCCCTCTGAACCGCTCTGAACCGCTCTGAACTGCTCTGTTTACATCTCAAAAAATTATGCAGAAATTCTGAAAAATGGACAGAATTGTTCTTCATATCACTCTCTGTCCAGTTTGGTGTGATGCTACTGAGAAATCCCTGCTTAGAGTGCTGTGCTAAAACTAAAAGCTGAATCAGTGAATAAATGATTGAGTGAATCAGTAAATGAGCAAGCGAGTAAATAAATGAATGAGTAAGTGAGTAAGAGAATGAGTGCAGAAGTGAGCAAGCAAGTGAATGAGTAAATGAGTGAGTGAGTGAAAGCATGAATAAGAAGGTGAGTGAAAGTGAAGGTGAGTGAGAGAATGAATGAATGAGTGAATAAGTGAGCAAGTTACTGGGAGGATTCCTTCTTTTGAGCAGCCTCTGTTGTCTTTGGTGAACGCACTCGCTGGTGGGAGACTTAACTGCATCGTTTTTTCTGAAAAGGTAACAGGTGGCTCCGCATTTGCCAAGCGTATAATTTTCCATCCTTCAGCGACGGAGATGTTTAGAAAAGCTGAAGAGGATCTGAGAGCTGCGCTCGGCAGGAGAAACAAAAGAGAGAGGAGGGAACAGTAACAAAAAAGAGAAAGCGCAACGGCACTTATTCTCCACGGCCTTTGTGTCTGTCAGCATCAACATCAGTTCCAGCCGTTTATATCCTATTTATCGCTCCGGAGCAGTGATGCAACGTTCGGGAAGTTCAAGACACCATCTGTCCGTTTATGAAGCTGACGTGCGTTCCAGCAGACGAGGGTTTACATGAGCGCAGAAATAGATTCTCTAAAGCTCTCACCTTGAATATCTGCAACTGGCAGGTGCATCTCTGATTCTCCAACAACATCTCTATTAGACCGCCAGCCTCGTTTGGCTAAGTATTCTTAGAAACTGTAACAAACGAGAGCGACGCTGTCGGATCTCATATCAAGCTGTAAGAAAAGCTGCTCTGCCTGAACTTGGGAGCTCAGCGAATTTGGGAATTTCCTCATAAGTAATTGGTTAAGCTATACACACCGTCTTTCACAGTGGTTTGATGTAAAATACTCTGTTCAGGGAACCAGACAACTGAAGAGTTTAATCCCTCTAAAACCTCACTCACAGGAAGTTATTAATGAAATGGTTATGAATTCACTGCCTAATTTCTGAGACACCATTCATGGTGGAGGGATACGTGCAGGGTGTTGTGAGGCAAAAGAGTTGGTTTGGTGTGAAACGCTCTGTTCTAGATAAACTTACCGAGTCAGAATTGTTCACAGTACATATGATAGGAACCAGACGTCCACCTCTAAAAGCTCCCTCACAGAAAGTTCCTACATGAAATGGTTATGAATTCACTGCCTGATGACTGAGACACTGTTTTATGATAGTTGTGAGAACTTAAACTCCATTCATGGTGGAGGGATACATGCAGGGTGTTGTGAGGCAAAATAGTCCCCAGAGAAAACTTAGTATTTCAGATTTTCCACTATTTTCCATCATCAACATTCCATATAGACTCAGAAGACTCGTGTAGGTTCACTGGTCGTTCTGGATAGTAAATAAAATGTCTATATTTGTGTTGTAGTCATGGTGACCCCTGGTTCCTATCACCACCACTGTAAAGACATCTGAACCATTTCACACCAAACCACTCTGAATCACTCTGTTTACATCTCACACATTGAATTAAGCTGGGATTTTGTGACCTAGTCAGAAAAGGTATTCCTCTTTCAGGTGCACCCACTGCTGACGCAGGTGCTCTATTGTGCACAGCTTATATAATCTCCATAGAAAAGCACTGACCCATAAAATGGGATGCTCAAACAGAACAGGAGTCATTTTTGCAGAAGTAAAAAAGTCTAAAAGTCAGTCATAGTAGACTGTTATCTGCTATCTTCACTGTCGTCCACCAGTGATGTTACATGGCACATTTTTGGAATTTCCAGAGGGATGTCAGGGTTTTTCACCTAATTTAATTCATTTGTCGATTTTAAACCCAAACAAATTTCAGCTTAACTCACATTCACATCCCACCAGTGGCAAATAAGTGGTATAAAATCTGTGAAAAGATCCACAAACTGTTGTGTAAACTCTGTAACTTTTGTTTGTTGATGTTTTGCGTGACCTCCTTCTCGTACGTGTTTGAATGTTTCCTTCTTGGTGGCAGGCAGTATATAGATGGTATTTAATTACGTCTCAGTAGCCCACTGACCAAGGGGGATGGTCAAGAGGGAAAGTTTCAGCAGATTCTGCAATTAACTGAAAGTTAATGTCAACTAAAATGTTGTGTGTTCTCAGGTCTGAGCTGTATGGATGAGAACGAGGAGCTGGTGTCAGTTTCGGAGTGTATTCGCTGGGCGGGGCCGATGCCCCCACGAGTGCGGAGCTGCTGGGTGTCCTGCAAAGACGACTGCACCTTTAGCCCATGGAGCAAGTTCACCGAGTGCTCGGGATGTGGCAGCAAACGCAGCCGTAAACGTACACTGACAGGTGAGATGAACGCACGTACACAGGAAAGAGAAACACCCTCACAGGTGAAATAAATGCTCACTGACAGGTAAGAAACACGCAGTCACAGGTGAGATACACACTGTAATAACATCATAATAAGATGAGATACACACACTGTAATAATAATGTCGTAATAACATGAGATACACATGGTCACAGGTGAGATGCACACATTATAGCAACGTCATGAGATACAGACGCTCACAGGTGAGAAACACGTTCACAGGTGAGATACACACACTGTAATAACATCATAAGATGAGATACACTCACAGGTAAGATACACTCACTATAATAACGTCATAGCCATATGAGATGCACATGCTCACAGGTGAGATACACACACTTACAGGTAAGATACACAAACTATAATAATGCCATAAAAAGGTGAGATATACACGCTCACAGATGAGATATACACGCTCACAGATGAGATACACGCTCACAGGTGAGATACACGCTCACAGATGAGATACACACGCTCACAGATGAGATATACACGCTCACAGGTGAGATACACGCTCACAGATGAGATATACACGCTCACAGGTGAGATACACATGCTCACAGGTGAGATACACGCTCACAGATGAGACACACGCTCACAGATGAGATACACGCTCACAGGTGAGATACACACGTTCACAGGTGAGATACACGCTCACAGATGAGATACACACTCACAGATGAGATACACACGCTCACAGATGAGATATACACGCTCACAGGTGAGATACACGCTCACAGGTGAGATATACACGCTCACAGGTGAGATATACACGTTCACAGATGAGATATACACGCTCACAGGTGAGATATACACGTTCACAGATGAGATATACACGCTCACAGATGAGATATACACGCTCACAGGTGAGATACACATGCTCACAGGTGAGATACACGCTCACAGGTGAGATACACGCTCACAGGTGAGATATACACGCTCACAGGTCAGATTCATGCTCACAGATGAGACACACACTATAATAATATCATAAAAAAGTGAGATATGCTCACAAGTAAGACCTTCACTATAATAACATCATAATATATAATAATGTGCTGATGCTTTAATGGCAAAAGTATGTTTGTTTTACCAGCTGTTCTCCTGTAAAGTCTCTGTTCTAGTGCGGTTCTGCGCTCTTCCTCACTAACTGAGATCTTCCTCGTCTCCTCTTCTGTAGAGTCTCTGTTCTAGTGCGGTTCTGCGCTCTTCCTCACTAACTGAGATCTTCCTCGTCTCCTCTTCTGTCTTCAGTGTGAGAAATGAGGAACAGTCACTCTTCACTCCAAACTCTTGGGAAACTGGGCGAGTTTTCAGATTTACAGATCTGCTGCAGCTCATTGTAAAGTTTTTCAGAGGAATCCGGGCAGAGTTACAGTTTCTAGGCTATGAAGGACCAACTGGGTGAACCAGTCTGCTACAGCGCCACCCTGAGGCAGAGCAGTGCTGCAGCTCTAGTTAGTTAAGAACACCAGGGACAGAAGCTGGTTGTGGGTAAAGCAGATAAACAATGAGCTTCACTGAATCCGTATTTGAGTGATTTTCCTAACGGACAGCATAACGGCATAGTGAGTTTATTTTCAGGGACCCCTCAGAATTTTAGTTTTGAGACAGTCAGGGGGCCCAAGAGGTTAATTAGGGGGTCCCAGACCCCCCCAGGACCTCCTATGTTTTGCACCTTGCTCATAAGTGAGATAAATGTACATTATAAAATACACAGACACTCACGAGTGAAATGAATGCACACTGAGTGGTGAGATACGTGAACTCACAGGTGACTCACTCACAGGGGAGATAATGCACACTCAGTTCATTCCTGCGGTCGGTCATGTCAGATAAACGTGAGAAGCTTCCTGATTGGGTTGTGTGGGTGAACATAATGAGACCTTGTGTATGTTACGTGTTGTCTCATGTCCACCGCGGCTCCCACCATTTGTGCTAATAAATGTTTCAGTACTGCCTCTGGGCTTTTTCCTGCTGCTCTTATTCACCGCGCTCAGTTAGCAGTCAGTATTAGCCTTGTGTACTGTAAACCCCAGAAAACCTCCACCTCCTCTCCTGCTTTGACCTGTTCATCATTACTCTCTCTAACTCTGTGTGCTTTGCGCCTAATTGCCGTTTACTTACTGATTCTAAATAGCCTGGCGGCGTAGAGCTCTTCGGGAAGAAGCTGTCAGTTTGTATAGATCTGAATAAATAAAATATCTACAGTTTGGCTTTGAGCACGGCAGTAAACTAAAGAGGGTTTCCAATAGAGACTCTTCATTCAGAGTGCAGCTTAGCTCAAGATCATGTTTCTGTTGCTGAATGTAGCAGCATGGGATTCTGTTTGGGGACTTCCCTCATCATTCGGTTCACCCGTGTCTTGTTAGTCGCTTAGTTCTGGCTTTATGTTCACAACACCAGTTGACTCATCTGATTGAATTTGTGTTTTTCACACTTTTAAAGATGTTTTGATCTAGAATAGAAAGCTAATAGTCACTGATTGCTGCTTATTGATACTGAAATGTTAATTACCAGGACACATGTTAGTGTTTACGGATGTGCCCAAAGTCTTTAAGTCCTTACACTCTCAGGAGAAAGGTAGTAAACTACCATTGGGGCAGTCCCCCTCTTGTCACTGGGGTGGTTCCCTCAAGACTCCATCTCAGTACCTTTAGTCAGGGAACATAACTGAACCATAATCCACTGAAATGATATGTTCTAAGCTGTACTGACTCCACACACCCCGTCTCGTCTCCAGGACTTTATTTTACTGTTCTGTTTTAAAACATTCGGTTATGAAAAGGTGCAAATACGAACTTTTCACCTGGAAAAACTTATTTAAGGTTCACAATCAGACCTTCAAACCACTGTTGTACCTTTGAGAGAACATTTACACTGTTTGTACCTTCATAAATGAATAATGTAGCTTCACAGAACCTTTATTACTAACAGTGTAGTTAGCAATGTGGCACCAAGTCATAGCTGGGTCTCTGGCTTTGCACCCCCCCCTCTCCCCAAAGATACAAGATCAAGATCTAGCTCCAACTCCACCCCTCGAGACACAAAATGTGATCCGATATTAATGTTTATATTAATATGACAATATAGCCACACAGCACACACGTCAACACAGATATTCACACCAAAGTCAAATAAAATGTTCCAAACAGTGATGAGATGAAAAACTTTTTATTAACTTTTAGCTGTACTCATGGAGAAACTGTCCCCAGTTGTTTGTTATTTAAGAGATTGCAGGTATGCTTTTAAAAAAGATGGTTCTTCAAGGGTTCTTTAGTAAAAAAAAATAGTTTTATATAGAATCATAAACACTCAAAGAACCCTTTGCATGCTTAAATGGTTCTTTGCATGGTGAATTGTCCTTCAGACTGATGGAGAATGTGTTGTAGATGGTTCTATATATAAATCATTTTCGAAAAGCGTTCTATATAGCACTGAAAAGGGTTCTGATATTGTTATGATGTCAAGCTTGTAACAATAGCAGAGCCCTTTTTGGTGCTATATAGAACCAAAACCATGAGTGTAGGTTCACTGGTGGTTCTGGATAGTAAATAAAATGTCTATATTTATGTTGTAGTCATGGTGACCCCTGGTTCCTATCACCACCACTGTAAAGACATCTGAACCATTTCACACCAAACCACTCTGAATCACTCTGTTTACATCTCACACACTCAATTATGCAGAAGTTTTGAGAAATAAGTGAAATTCCTCTTCAAGAGTGGCGAAGGGATCTGTGTGGGGTAAATGAGGGGGGCGAAGACGGGGTTGTCTGTACTGTGGGGGCAGAAATCTCTCCAAGCAGCCTGAGGAGGAGAGATTTTCTCTTAACTTTCCTCTTAGCTCCATCGCTCTGTTCACACCTTATGGTCTGTCACTCCTCCTCCCCTGGAGCGCTTATGGAGAGTTGTTTTCCACACTCATTTTGACACTCATTTCCATACTCAAAGATCACCCACTGTGAACAATTCCTGCAGAAGATTAGAGAGACGTCAGGGAGACGGAGACCGCCAAGCTTTCAGCTTCAGACTCAAAAGGCGTGATTGGCTCTCATTAAGAAGCACAGCATCTCACGGTGGAGAGATTTCAAAGGCCCTGCGCTACGTGATTTATCTAATCCCATCCACTTAAAAATGATCAAGCCCACATGCTTCAGCAATGATCTCAAAATCCTGGAAAGGCAGCAGAAAAGAAAAAGAAAGTGGATGAAATGTGTGAGCTAAGCGAAATCATGCGGCAGGTTTAATTGAAGGGGTCTGCTGTGGACTTTAGGAGGCTTCATTAATGATGCAGGATGGGGCTGGAGAGTGTAGCAGGTGCAGAACGTCAGCTGAATGAAACTTTCAGGTAGTTAGTTGCATGCTGTGAGTTGCATGCAACATACACTATATTAACAAAAGTATCTACACATTATACCTACAGGATAGGCATTAATATGGAGTTGGTCCCTCATATTATGCAGCTCTAACAGCTTCCACTCTTCTGGGAAGCTTTCTACAAGATGTTGGAGAGAGTCTGTGGGAATTTGTGCTCCTTCATCCAGAAGAGCATTTGTGAGGGCAGGCACTGATGTTTCACGAGAGGGCCAATCTCCATTCTAGTTCATCCCAAAGGTGTTTGACGGGGTTGAGGTCAGGGCTCTGTGAGGGCCAGTCAAGTTCTTCCACACCAAACTCACCCAGCCATGAATTTATGGACCTTGCTTTGTGCACTGGGGGTCAGTCATGCTGGAACAGAACAGGTTCTTCCCCAAACTGTTCACTGTTCGCGTCCTATGTTTAAAGTCACTTAGCTCATCAGTACAACCCATTCTACTGTCTGTGTGCATATGTTTTATATATTATGTATATGTATGTATGTATGTGTATATATATATATATATATATGTAGCCCGGGAAAACACACACGGGACGACAACTTATAAGCTATTGGGTCCGTTTATTCTCTATCAGGATTTCAAAGATTTGATGTAGTGAGAGGAATTCAGCTCAGTGTCACAAAAGTATAACAGCCAACTGAAACAAAGAAATAAAAAAAACAAAAATATAAATTTTAAATGGACCTGGCTCAAATACTCTTTCGGTCCGCTACAGCCTCTTATGAATACAGCTCAAAGAAAACAATTAGGCAAAATAACGTAAGTACGTACAGTACAAATAATACGGTAGTGGCTGTTGTAAAGATAAACACACCATCAAAACCGCACCACTTTTGTTTTGTACAAAATCATCTATACAGCACATTTATCTAAATCCTCTCTTTTCTCAGAAAATCAGTACTCACTTTGCTTGTGTGCGAAACACCAAAACACATGTAGCTTAGACCACTTAGACCAGTTTAGCTTCTCTCATTCACGGTAACTATATGAACAGAAATGGGAATATTCACCACCATTATTGACAATAGTACAATATTTTGCATTCCTATTACAACAAACTACCAATAAACTGAACATAAAACTCTATTAAGGGGCTGCCTTATAGCTTTTAACAGCTAACACGGATTATATAGGCAAACTGACCTGCTCAACTGCTGAGAAAGTCTCCATGCACACGAAATTTCTATCTTGTGCTTTAAACCTAGAAATATTTGACATCCCATTGTTAAACATCTAAAATAGCCAACAGCTTATGCTAGTGAAGCCTATTTTAGCGTTTACAGGAGTATAATTTGAATATTTTCACCTTTCCTCCCACAGCTAGTACACTGCAGCTCTAACCAGCTTCTTCTGGTTTCTTTGAATGCACTCGCTCGTTCTGTGCTCTGCGAAACAGCGCCCCCGTGAGGTCTTAAAGGCACAGGAACCTATTTATGCTTTTAGATTAATGTAGGTGAAACTGATAGGATCTAATTATCACCTGGCTACATATATATATATATATATATATATATATACAGCAACACTGAATGAACCATTTGCATGCTTATATGGTTCATTGCATGGTGAAATAGCTCTTCACCTTTATGGAGAATGCTTTGAAAACAGTTCTAACGTAGCACCAAAAAGTGTTCTTCTTATTGTTACAAGCATGCAAATGGTTCTTTGAGTGTTCATGGCTCTACATACAACGATTGTTTTTACTAAAGAACCCTTGAAGAACCATCTTTTTTTAAGAGTGGAGAAGCAATGTAAGTTCATCGAGAAGTGCATGCTTTTAACAGTGCAGACAGACGCACCGCCCAGAGCAGTTTTCATAGATGGTTTGGAGATGGAGATGGAGAGGGAGATGTAGATGGGGTTGGAGGTGGACATGGAGTTGGAGTTAGTTAGAGTTGGAGTTGGAGATGGAGTTATAGATGGAGTTATAGATGGAGATGGAGCAGGAGATGGAGTTATAGATGGAGTTATAGATGGAGTTATAGATGGAGCTGGAGCAGGAGATGGAGTTATAGATGGAGTTATAGATGGAGTTATAGATGGAGCTGGAGCAGGAGATGGAGTTATAGATGGAGTTATAGATGGAGTTATAGATGGCGTTATAGATGGAGTTATAGATGGAGCTGGAGCAGGAGATGGAGTTATAGATGGAGTTATAGATGGAGTTATAGATGGAGCTGGAGCAGGAGATGGAGTTATAGATGGAGTTGGAATTGGAGGGCAGCAAAAACCAAAGTGAAACTAAACTCTGAGTGCACTGGTTGTCGGCTACCTTGATTAAGGTAAGAGATTTTGTATGTAAAGTAAAGAACAGTGTATTCTGCTGTACTTTGGTTCTATTCAGTTCTTTGTTGTTTGAAATGTATTGTTGGCTTTAATGTTTGTGTTCTTGTGTGTTCAATGCACACAGATCTCAGTGAGTGAGTTGTCTGTGATTCTGAGACACGCTGTCTGTGATTTCACGCTGATAAAGTGTTGGTGCCCCTCGCGAGTAGCGGATCTAATGGTAGCTCAACGGAGTGATTTCTGGATGACCGTGGCTGAGTGGATGTGCTGCTGGGCTACAGATGAATCCAGGCTAAATCCTGAACTTGTTTTCCACCATCTGCCCTGCACATCCATCTGCCCTCACAGCAGGAGTGACCCAGGCGAAAGACCAAAGAAAGCAGAATAACAAAGAAAAACATTCCAGTGTGTCCAGTTAACCAGGGCTAGACTGACTTTACATGTGCTGGAGCTTAACCCTAGGCTTTGAGTCATTATTGTCATTCTACTATGTTATTGAAACAAAATAATATACTGACATAGTTAGATATGCAAATAAATACATAAATATTCAATTTACACCCTGTATTAAAAGGTTTGTCTGCCGTTTATTAGAAACTTTATTAGAAACACCTACCTTGTACTTCCACTTACTGTCCACTTTATTAGAAACACCTACCTTGTGCTTCCACTCACTGGCTACTTTATTAGAAACACCTACCTTTTGCTTCCACTCACTGGCCACTTTATTAGAAACACCTACCTTGTGCTTCCACACACTGGCCACTTTATTAGAAACACCTACCTTGTGCATTCACTCACTGGCCCACTTTATTAGAAACACTAACCTTATACTTCCGATCACTGGCCACTTTATTAGAAACACCAACCTTGTACTACAGATGTACACATGCCTTTATCACATGAAGTCTATCAGTTTCTGTACTTTTAGATATTCAATATCAGGGTTGCTTGAACTTTTGGACTTTTGGTTCAAAGTGCAATGTTTATACTGACCAAAGGGCCAAAAAGACAAACTATATGCAAATAAACAAGATAGTTAGTTTTCAAATCAAGAATTAGAAATACAGTTTTCTCAGGAAAATGAGATTAAAAAATTATGTATGGTATATAATTAAGCTTGCTTTCCCACAGGGTGAGAGAGAGAGTGAGAGACAGACAGACAGACAGACAGAGTAGAGAAGAGAGAGAGAGAAAGGAGAGAAAGTGAGAGACAGAAAGAGGCAGACAGTGTGAGAGAGACAGGGAGACAGAAAAAGAGACAGAATGAGAAACAGACAGAAAAGAGAAAGAACAGAGAAGAACAAAGACAGAAAGAGATAGATAAAGAGAGATTGACAGGGAGACTGAAAAGACAGGAGAGAATGCTGTTATTGAATTACAGGTGTGTAACATAAAAGTTGATCACATCATCACATTTTCTGTTCATCAGCTCAAGCTCTTAGTAACCAAGCAAAGCCGTGAAAACTGTACATTTTTTCTTGAACACCTGGCAGTAAAATAATGCTCAACATCATTCAATCAGACTAGAGACTTACAGTGAAAGAGAACTGCCAGATATGCAAGCAGGATTCAGGAAAGACAGAGAAATGAGAGTTGTCACTGCTGATGTACGCTGGATTATTGAAAACGCCAAGAGGTTCAAAAAGGAAGTCGACATGTTTTTCATTGACTACAGCAAAGCCTGTGTAAATGGGAATACCAGAGCATCTCACTGTTCTAATGAGGAACCTCTACACTGATCAACAATCATGACAGATACAGACAAACAGGCTGGTTCCACATCGGCAAAAGAGCTGGACATGGCTGCCCACTGTCCCCTTACTTGTTCAACCTGTATGCAGAACTCATGAAGAAAGAAGCAGGACTGGAAGAAGATGATAGAGGATTCAGGATTGATGAGAGAAGCATTAATAAACTTTGATATGCGAATGATATAAAACTCTTACTGGAAAGTCAGGGAGATCTGAAGGCCCTTATATGGAAAGTTAACCCTCTGTGGTCCATTCTCTTGATTTGGTCATATTTTCTTAAACTCTCCTTTAAAGGCTCTTCATATAACATGATCCTCATATGTTTCATATCAAAACGCTCCGTTATCTTCATCACTACTTTCCAAAACTGCTGCAGCAGCTTCAGCAGCTGTAAACCTTCTGCATGCTATTTCACATAAGTCTCCGATGTGGACTGAATAAGGGGTTTGCAGCATGATGGTCAGTCCTTAGTGATTTCCTGAGTGTCCATTGGTCAGTTTCACACAGAAGGTAGACGGACACACGAATCCACCAGTTCCACACGGTGAGAGGCAGATGACGTGTATCTCAGCCCCTCTTCATAGGCTCATAACTCCGGATGTGAGTCTCGTATGATCTCGAGATAAGATGGGATGGAAAGGGCGACTCTACAGATTCAGGAAGTGTTTGAACTGGATTTCTGAGCTGGATCATCACAAAGATACAGAAGGTTTTGACAACAGAAAAGGTGACTAACTTTACCGTTAATGGTGGAAATGTAGAAATGGTCCACAGCTTTTGCCTGATTGGATCGATTATTACGAACAAAGGATCCAACAGTAAAGAAATACAACACAGATTGGCACTCAGCAGAACAAGCATGAAAAACTTGTAAAGATCTTCAAATGTCTACAGACAAAGATCAGAACTGTTCAGGCTGTGGTCTTCTCTGTGGTTTTTCATGGATGTGATAGCTGAACAGTGCAAAAGCAGGACAGGAAAAGTAGCCATTCCTTTGAACTTTGGTGTTGGTGAAGACTTTTGAGAGAACCCTGGATGGCAAGGAAAACAAACCAATGGATTTTTGACCAATATAAGCCTCACCTCTCACTTAAAGCCCAGACAACCAAACTGAAGCTCTTATTTTGGATGAGGAACAGTTAAATAAGCAAAAGGTGACGAACATGACCAGCAACAAGATGGCTGGAGATGATCAGCGGAATCATGAAATAGCCATTAAGAAGCCTGGGGACCCAAACAGGAGGCAGGATTTTCTGGAGGAACACTATCCATGTTGTCACCAGGAGCCTGAAATGGCTTGATGGCACTTTAAGTCGTGCTCAGGCTTCTATTTCCTGCCTGTGCAGCCCGGAGTACAGTTAGCTAGATGCCACTGGAACTGTTACTTAGAACCGTGGATCTACAGTGGAAAAGAGGACAGGCAGAAAGATCTACAGAAAACATGTCAACATTCAGGAGAGACAGATAGAGACAATATGTTAATGATGCCCACAATAAAGTCCATGCCGCTGTTTTTGCTTCTGACCTTCTAAAGCTGGACGATAAGAAATGAACTCAGTTGTTTAATGGACAGAATTACAGTGTATGTGTTTTCACACACAGTCAGTTTCCTACTGAAGCTCAAAAAATCCACTTCCGTTCTTGTCATCGCTTTGATTCTGACATGTTTATCGTCCCTCAGGGACATTTCATACTGTATCTGTTCACCAGAGAGTCTTTAGTCCCACAGGGCCAACATCATATCATCTCAGTGTACAACAATCGATTTGTAGTGCACATATTGTTTGTTTATTTGCTTTTAAACGAGATGATCACAGCAGATATTACAGTAAATCCCTAAAGGATTTGCTGCTTGGCTTCTGTTAGCAAACAAGCCATATCTGATCAGCAGCAACACAGAGAAATAGACAAATCCATATTTAATTTAGGAGTATATTGTGCATACAGTCTGGTCGTTTTCAATATGAGAAATCAAGACGGATCTGCAGCGCATAACAGACAACCATCAATCAGAGAAGAAAAGAGATCAAAATCCATACTGTGGTGTTGGCGTAGAAGAGGAAGACACGGGAAACATAGCACTTCAAACAGATGTTTTTTTTTATTAAACATAGCAGCAGGGGAGACCCCCGCTCAGCGCTACTGAATGGCTGGGATAGCAGGCAAGTCATCAAAAGCCACACATTCTTCGCTGAGGGTAGAGAATAACGCTGCTCCAAGTACCCCATAACCCAGCACAGCATAGCACATAACACATGTACATCCCCTCACAAACAATAACTTATTTACATCCTAAAATCATTAAGTCTCTCTAAAAGCGAATTCACGATGCTATGTGCGAAGTAACATTCGGCTTCATCAGAGAACAAACATAAACACTTCTTTGAGTGTCTCCATACTTAAGAAACTCCTTTTCTGCAGGAAATGATAGCATTTTACCAACATGTCAATTTACACAGGATCAGTGTAACCTGAAGTTGTTTTTAAGGCTTGTTTTCCAGAAGCTAAACGGCTCTGAAGTCTTTACTGACGCAGGAGTGTGCAGTCTGTAAAAAGGACTGGCATGACACATTTAGATGGGACTAAACTCATTGAGAAACATCGGGATGAATGGGGCTTAAGACCCCCAAAGTCAACAATGAGAGAACTCCATATACCCCCATATACATTCAAAACGGTTAATATTTTAGACGTTTTAATTCACAGATAAATCAGAAGCATACAATAGATAAGCAGACAGTTTTATCATGCAGATATTTGCCTAATATTTAATTCTGCTTTTTTGGTCCAAAAATAAATGTGTTGGTGTTTTTAGATACCTTTTTTTTTTTACTTATCATACATATATATATATATATATATATTTATATATATATATATATATATATATATATATATATATAGGATTCAGATGTTTTTATGTGTTTGGTTTGGAAAACTCACCTAGTTTTGAATTGTTTTTGCATCAGTTTACCAAACTTTTTCTGAATGCTACAACTAGCTTCTCAGTCTTTTACAGTAAACACTGCCTATGGGGTGCGTTACGCACCTTTGCACAACTTTGCATTTTCGGCTGAATTGGTTACAGAAAGTAGGTGCTGGATTCAAAGTTTGTTTTACTTGTAACAGAGATGTGCCGGTTGCTTGTGTAGAAATATCATTGATCTTGCTTAAATACTTTTTAAAATCAGCAAAAATCTAAACGTGTTTGCTCTCCTCCAGTATTTTAACTAACATTTAATTAATAGAGGTATGACTTGACAAACTCAAAAGCATGTAATTTGAATCATTGTTTACAATCTTTACCCTGAAATATACCTTGGCTGATCGATTATTTTGGAAGAAAGGGAAAAATTACTAATATGATGAGTTGTTGATGCTGTATGATATACTGTTGTCTGCAAGATGCACTAATTGTCAAGTCAAGTCAAAGTTTATTTATATAGCGCCTTTTTACATCAGCCATTGTCACAAAGCAGCTTTACAGAAAAAGTCTGAGCCCCCATGAGCGTCACCAGTGGAGACAGTGGCAGGAAAAAATCCCTAAGAGCAAGAGGAAGAAACACTGAGAGGAACCAAGACTCAAAAGGGGAACCCATCCTCCTCTGGTCGACACCGGATAGCAAACAAATACGAAAATAATTGTATATGTGAAGCACTTCAGTTCGTTTTAGTAGATAACATTGTGTAATTGTAAATCCTCTGTAATTTCTTTCACAGCCAATAAAGCTAATTCTCATTCTGATGGTGGTAGGTTGTAAAATTCAGCCAGACGCTGCAGTCTCACCTCAGAGACTTCCACTCAGAAACTGAGCTGTTTATTGTGGCTTTACTAAGCTTGACTGACTGAGCAGGTCTTTGTACTATTTATAGTTCTGTTCTCCTTTAACTGCGTCTCTCTGTTTCTCGCTGCTGTCTACTCAGCCTTCAAAATGAGTTTAGGACACTTTGTAGGAGGACTTTTTGTGCCTTGAACACATGGTTAAAATAATTGTAAAAAAAAAAGCGTTTGCTAAGGTTGAACCAGGCCAAGCAAAGAATGCAGGATGACCTGCGAGGATAAACGATAAAATAAAAACGGTACTAGCTTTCTTTTTAATATTATTGGGCTGAATCTGTTTTTCCAGTATGTGGGGGCAGAAAAAGGTCTGCTGTTTTTTATAGAGAGCTTGGTTTGCCTTCCTAAAAGATTCTGTGTTAAATGTGGTCAATCGGTCAATCTATTATTGAACACATGGTGAAAATTTTAAGAAGTTCTGTTGCTCCTTTGCTACCTCTCTCTCTCTCTCTCTCTCTCTCTCTCTCTCTCTCGCTCTCTCTCTCTCGTCTATATCCCTCGCCCTTTCCCTTTTCCTCTTTTGCTTCCATTACACTTTCTCTTTCTCAATTAAGTCTAATAGGCTTAATAAATTGCTTTACATGCAATTACAAGATGAAAGACAATACAGTACATGCAATATTATGATAATGATAATAATTATATATAACAGTATCTGTACATGCACACAAATACTCCCTCTCTCTCTCGCAGGTCGCAGTAGGAAGCGATTGCACTGTCAGAGGGAAGATGTTTATCCATTGGTGGAGACAGAGTCATGTCCCTGTGAGGAGTTTGTCTCCGAGTCATGGGGAAACTGGTCAGCGTGTGTCCTGCCCATGGCCCCACGGGACTGGAGGGCTCACAGGGCTCAGAGAGGTCAGAGGTCACAGGGCTGTGGCCAAGGAGTCAGGTACCGAGCAGTGGCCTGCACTGACCAGAGGGGACGTCTCCTGGATCCTTCACTCTGCAGCACCTCAGGTCAGTTTAACTCTTTAGATCCCCACACTCCCTTTCTTTTCTCCTCTCCTTTGTGACCACAAGGGGGCAGTACTAAAGGTCAGAAGGCCTACCCACAGTGCGGACCACCGATTTAACATGGGCAGGGAATATCATAGTAGCTAGTGTGCTGCATGGCCTATTCCTATAGGCCTGTGTACAGACATTTTTTGTGGGGCAGAGGCTTGAAACAAAAGGGCAACATGAAGATGAATAAAATTTAATTTAATTTGCAGCATTTTGCAAACACTCAGATTTGTTTTCCTCTAGAACCAAAAGGAATCCTTCACAGGGCAGCCTAAAATAACAACATTATTGTTAAACAAGGGTTTTGAACCCCAGAAAATGACCAAAACTTGGTTTAGCAAATTATTAGAGCCTCTTAAAGAGAGTATTACTGCTTCATTGCTGGGATTTCCAGCACTGTGGTGATGCATGTGTCTGCAAGTTATAGGTACTGAGGTTAAATCTCCACTGGTGGTTGGTACTGCACCAGTGTTTCATGGAAGCATGTTTTGTTTTTTTTTGTATTTTTGCCCCCCCCCCTCCTTAACATGAGAGACACCGAAAACATACCTAAAAAATACATAAACACGCCTAAAAAGTACCTAAAAGAAGGACACTCCCAACAAAAGAGATTAAAACACAAACTAAAACACACATGTGATCAGTCCTCTCTCCCTCAGCAATCTTGAAGGCCTCTTTTAAGGCTTAGACACCTCCCCTCAGATACAGCAGCCATGCCTCTGATTGGTCAGAGGTCCTCCTCACATGATGGATTACACAGCAGGTACACCTGCGAAGGGAGAGACCAGGGGAGAGAAAGAGAGAGAGACAAAAACACAGAAAATCAAAATACATGCTTACACGTAACAACCAGAAGGGACACTTAAGCGCAACCTCAGCTGACCAACTTGTTACATTCTACTATCCTACGAGGGGCTAAAGCATCCTCTGGGTTTATCTGTGCACATGCCTGCTGGCTGCTTTATGGTGCCACAACATTGTGTTTATTTTCTTTACATGAGCAAATGCTATTATGAAGCTCAAACGAGTAATTGGAGCATTGACAGATAGCTACTCCTCTCTGGGTGATAAAGAGTGGCTTTAATAAAGAAACATTTTCTCAATGCATAAAAGGAACTCTATGGAATGTGCAGCCCTGATCCTTTTGACAATAACCAGTGTTATCCCTGGCGACATTAACTAAAAGACTTTATCCCTAGAGGGACATGACTGTAATTGATGGTATAGAACTCTTTCTTTCTTGCTTGCTTGCTTGATCAACTCCCAGACTCCCTCACTTTCAGTCTTCAACATGTTGGAAGTTGTCATATGGTTCATGTTTCAATAGTGTAAGAAAGCTAAAATGTAATTACAATGCAATGTATGTGGCTTTTGATAGCTGTAGAGGTGAAAAGCGAGAGAAAGCACCTGCATTATGATTGCTTGATCTGATACTTAATATCATAGTCAAACTGGGTTGATGAGCCAAGCGCTGCTCTAATGCACCCGCTTTCCAGGGATTCTTGTGAATGTAGACTGTAGGAAGTACTCTCTAAACCAGTGGTCTCCAACCTTGGTCCTGGAGAGCTACCATCCTGCGGAGTTTAGTTCCAACCTGGATCCAACAAGCTGTCCCGCAGCTCTGATATATGTAATCCAGCCATCCAGTGACTTAAGAAGAGGTTGATTAGCTGGAGCAGGACCAGGGTTGGAGACCACTGTTCGAAGCTCTTCTGTTGCTGCCCATTTAAGCGAAACTTCACAGCATTATGATTGGACATGTTCCACTCACAAGGCCACAGTCTTTCATTGACAAAAACAATAGACCATTCTGGTTTTAAAGTAACACTTATCTAGTCCTGCATGCTTGCATCTGCAATATAAGTCCAAAGGTTCGCTCATTCAGTGCTTCTTCTGGCTTTGTTTTCCATAACTGCTCGTCAGTCACGTTCCTACTGATCAGTATTCAGGATGACAGCTGCTTTTGTACAGAGCCTGAGTTCCAGGCCCTGAGGGAGCTACCTTTCATTTGTCTGCCATGTCCAGCAGCTTCCACACCTCACTTTGTCCCTTTAGTACATGTACTTAAGTAAAACTTTAAGATGTTGGAACATTGCTTGTGAAGATTTGACAGAGCATTAGTGAGGTCAGGTACCGATGTTAGAGGGTCAGTTCCGGATCACTCCAACTCATCCCAAAGGTATTAGAGTTCCATCACTCCAGAGAATGCAGTTCTACTGCTCCACATCTCAATGTGGGGGGCTTTACACCCCTCTAACATTGTGCACAGTGACCTTAGGCTCAAAGGTACCTGCTCCACAGCATAACAGTTTACTGGTAAGTGGTTTTCTATGGAGATTATACCAGCTGTATGCAATTGAGCACCTGTGTCAGCACTGGGTACACATTAAAGTAGTAAAATGGATTCATTTGAAGGGCTGTTTGGATACTTTTGGACATACAGAGTGTCTCCAGCCAGAAGCTATGAGTAAAGTCTGTAATGGGACTCAACCAGCCTGTTTTTCACAGTCAACTTTCCAGGCTGGATCTTAGTGCTCCTCAACAAGATCCAGGTCTTTTTTCCTTTGGAAGGTCCTTTGGTTTCTTTTGGTTTCTCTTGTTTCCTTTGGTGTCCTTTGGTTTTCTGTGGAGATTATACAAGCTATGTGCAATTGAATGCCTATGTCAGCACCAGGTGCACACTAAAGTACCTGAATTCATTCATTGAAAGGGCAATTTGCATACTTTTAGACATAGTGTACCTCCAGGCTGAAGTCATGAGTAAAGTCTGCATACACCAGTATGAGCTCGAACCAGCCTGTCAGCTTTGTAGGCTTAATCGTAGTGCTCCTCAACAAGACCCAGGTCTTTTTTCCCATTGGAAGGTGCAAATACATATGTGCAAAGGTGTCACCAAAATGGTTAAACAAAAAGGCAAAACTAACAAATGACCATGACTCTGTAAAGGACAGCCTCCACTGAGCGACACCTCAGATATTCTCTGGATCAGCAGCCTGCTAAGATGATACGGCCCAACTTTGGTCTGAAAGAAGTGATGTTTCATAAGCTTCACCTTCAAATTGTGCTGCTGAAGACAACTCAGCACCATCTGTAAATGTCTGAGGTGCTGATGGAACATCCTGGAGTGAGTGCATGGAGGGCACAGAGGGCACGGAGGGCATAGAGGGCACGGGAGGTCTGATCTCCGAAGAGCTACCAGTGCTTGCTGCATTGCATAATCCAAAGGGCATCCTATTACATTCAAACGGCCCAAAGGCTGTGCAGAGTGCTGTTTTGTCCTTGTCCTGCTTGGCCTCTGGGACGTGTCTGTCATTAATTCTCTACATCACTTGCCTTCTTTTTCCTTCTCTTTTCTTCCTCTTCATCCTACACACTTAAAAATGATGGTTCTTCATGGGTTCTTTAGTAAGGAAATGGTTCCATATAGAACCATGAACACTAAAAGAATGCTTTTCAGACTTTTCAGTTGTTATGCTGCAGATGGTTCTTAATAGTACCTCTTTAATAAGGGTTCTATATAGCACCCAAAGAGGTTCTTCTATTGTTACGATTTCAAGCTTGTAACAATATAAGAACCATTTTGGGTGCTATGTAGAAACCTTTTCAAACAGGTTCAATATAGAACCATCTACAGCATATTCTCCAACAATCTGAAGAACGTTTTCACCATGCAAAGAATCCTTTAATGATGAGGATTTGAGTGTTCATGGTTCTATATAGAACCATTTGCTTTACTTAAGAACCCTTGAAGAACTGTCTTTTTCTCCCTCTCTCTTCTTCTATCTGACTCTTTCTACTGTCTTTTTCTGACTTTCACTCTCTCCTATCTTGCTATCTTGCTTGGGTTCTCTTCCTCCGTTCCTGTCCTTCTCCTTCTGTCTGTCATTTTTTTAATGTAATTTGTCTCATTTCCTTCTATTTTTGTTCTTTTTCCTCTTCTCTTTCTCAACATCTTGCCCTCTCTTTCTCTGTCTCCCTTGTTCTTTCACTCTTTGCTCTTTGGCTGCCACTCTCCATCTGTCATCTCCTCTCTTACTCACTCTCTTTCTCCATTCCCCCTCTCTCTTTTCTCTCCCTACCACCTACAGATCTCAGTATCTCTTTCTTTTGTCAGATTGTGAGTAATAACTGCAGCAGGTCACAGCAGGGTTTCTGTGAGGCGTGTCTGTAAAGCGCTCTGGGTGCAGGGCTGCTGTATTTCTGCCGTGTTATTAGCACTGTGTGAATTAGCCTGATGGAGATTTTTCCATCTGCAGACCCAGAAAACAGTTTTACAGCTGCAGTTTCAGGGCTTCTACACTCTTAAAAAAGATGGTTCTTCAAGGGTTTTTTAGTAAAGAAACTGGTTCAATATTGAATCATGAACACTCAGAGAACACGTTGCATGATTAAATGGTTCTCTGCATGGTGAAACGATTCTCCAGATAGATGGAGAATATGTTGTATATGTTCTTTGTAGAACCTTTGTTGTGTCTCCTACGGGTAAGATACAACAAAGAAGAAGCGAGTCTGCCCGCTCAGTCGCCAGGCCAGAACAACAAGGAATTCCTAGTTAATAGCTGAGAATAATAAACACAATCACAGATTTAACAATTTATTTGGTGCTCTGAACTTTTATCCAGTCATCAAAAATGATATAAAATTAAGACAAAAGTAAAGGGAACAACAAAAAAGGAAACATAGCTTCAGGGAGGCCCAAGGCCCAACATAACAAACAAAAGATCCTTTAATATTTTAACTAATATTTTGTTCAACTGCTGTTTGATTTTGGCTAACTTTCACACGTAACAAACTCTCTGGTCAGTCACTGTCACTGTCATGTGGTAGACTTTGACACCACTGCTCTATGGTCTTAAAGTCCAGTTACATAAGTTATTCCCAATTTTCATAACCTAGTGTTTTAAAATGTAAGAATTGCGTATGGTATAGTTATAATTATATTCCCTAACAAAGATGAGGACATAGCCATGAGGGTAGATCTGCAAATGGATGGTGTAGCTGAGCCCCTGCTTCACTGTTTCTGCTTCCAGGGCTGCTGGAGGAGCCGTGCCACATCCCCTGTCCCCTAGACTGTCGCCTCAGCTCCTGGTCGGCCTGGTCTCCCTGCAGCGCCTCATGTGGCAGTGGCTTGAAGGTGCGATCCAAGTGGCTGCGAGAGAAGCCCTTTAATGGAGGCCGGCCATGCCCCAAACTGGACCTTAAGAATCAGGTGAGGAGTGCTGAGGCCACACAGAGGTCAGAGTATTCACAGTGTGTGTCTTCCATGCAGCACTGCTTTGAGCTGTAATTCACCAGTATGGTCTAAACTCAGCGAGGGAAGGCCAGGAAAAATCATCAGGGGTGACGACTGTCTGTGTTATGGTTTACTTAGAGAGTCAAATGTACAATACTAAGTAAGTATAGTTAATTAGCCAAGACATGTTTTTCTCTGAAGTTTGCTTAGTTTTAGCACCTGAGCTACAAGGCTAATGTAGCTAAGTAATGGAAGCTTATATCCCACCAATTAGCACTGGGAAAACCGCATATCTAAATCATCACACACTCACTGCAACCATGTCTGTCATTGCAAATCAGTCTCTTGGAAGCTCTCCAGGACAACTCACTACCAGATTATTAACCCTTTAAATGGCCAGGGCCCAAAGTTTTATCACACACTTCTATAGCCTAAGAATAGCTCAGCCAGTTTGCATTGAAGTCCCTGTAGTTAAGGAATAAGAAGTGTTAGTATGTAATAAGCATGAGATTTTAAGGGGTTAACAAATTTTGCTGCCCACAAGCCACAATATTTAACCCTCTAGGGTCTGTGAACTCTCCCATGCATCAAATTCCATGTTTCTATATCTGTGTCTGTATCTTTGTGTTGATCCAGCTCAGAAATCCAGTTCAAACACTTCCTGAATCTGTAGAGTCGCCCTTTCCATTCCATCTTATGACGAGATCATATGAGACTCACATCCGGAGTTATGAGCCTATGAAGAGGGGCTGAGATACACGTCATCTGCCTCTCACCATGTGGAACTGGTGGATTCGTGTGTCCGTCTACATTCTGTGTGAAACTGACCAATGGACACTCAGGACATCACTAAGGACTGACCTCACGCTGCAAACCCCTTATTCAGTCCACATCGGAGACTGATGTGAAGCGGCGTGCAGAGAGTTTACAGCTGCTGAAGCTGCTGCAGCAGTTTTGGAAAGTAGTGATGAAGATAACGGAGCATTTAGATATGAAACATATGAGGATCATGTTATATGAAGAACCTTTAAGGGAGAGTTTAAGAAGAGATGACCAAATCGAGAAAATGACCTCAGGCCACAGAGGGTTAATAAGCTTGGACAGTAACGGAAATTTAGACAATTAATTTCTGCAAAAATTATATTATTGTGATTCATTACAGAGCATTACAGAGCCTTCACCCTATAGCTTGGTAATACCTCATTTCATTGCCAACTGGGCTGGCTTTTAATATTACTTAAAACATATAATAATAACTACATTCTGCACAGATGGTGTTTAACAATAGTAGCATTCATTTGTTCTCTGCCTTCATTTGATTGGAAACCAAAATATTGCCAAAATTGCCATAATAGCACCATCTTCTGCACAAACCCATCCATTTTATTTCCCACCAGATGGCAGATCGACATGCACCAGAGTTTCTTTGTCTCTTTTGCATGTGTCCCAGCATCCATAGCCAGGCTGAAAATCTGTGTCATAATCTCTCCAAGTGGCATTTAAACTGTGTGTGTGGAGTTAATTTGATGGTGCTGTTTGTCTTTTCCACTGCATACATTCTGAACTAACCATAGATTAGAGTGATGATGGGTAATTAAAGACAAAGCAGTACAAAATCATGTGAAGGAGAATGACGATTTGCATAAAATTGGCACTTTTTTCATACTATTCAATAAAATCAGTTATTGAATTTCCCTGTCATGGATAAATCTCATGTGTTTACCTCGTTACAGCTGCGTTTCTGAGCAGTTTGGATCACCTGATTGTCTGTTCTGGTTTTGGTTTTGAAATGCTGGTCTCACTTTATGTGGATAGTCCACTATAGTCCCCTATAGATTATCTATAGATGATCAAACTGGTAACAAACTATTTGTTAAAACTCTGATTCTAAACAGTGGTGGGGTTAGGATTTGGACCACGGTTAGGGCTAGGACCAGGGTGAGGGTTGGGTTTAGGTTTTAGCTTGAGGTTAAGGTTAGGGTTAGGATTAGAGCCAGGGTGAGGGTTGAGTTTAAGTTTAGGGTTAGAGTCAGGTTTAGAGTTAAAGACAATTATGGTCAATTTAGTAGATATTTGGTTCATTTAATGTAACCTGAAAGTAAATTAAGTATTTACAAAGCATCTAAAGTGTTACCAAACTATTTTGGCTACCTGGTTTATTTCTTTTGGCTCTCATTTTTTACTCTCTTTTGACTCTTTTTTTGTTCTGAAATAGACTTAAAACAGACTTGCTCATGAAGTTTCTGTCACTGTTTGACAGTGTTATATATAAACATGAACAAAAATATGGGATAATTCTTCCTTCAAGCCAGCTGCTTCGTTTATTAGCTATATAAAATACTTTTGTCCATTTTCATTTTAAGATAAATGCATATAAATAAACCCTATGTAGAGAATGTAAATTCACAAGAATGTATGATCACATTCATTACCAGACATTTACATTTGTTTTAATGGTGGTTACTGTTATTATTATTATTATTATTGTAAAATGCTGTATGTCAGAATAATCTGTTGTTGTATTACAGAAAAAAGTCTTTTCAGATATTAAATGTAATCTGTAATTTTACATTTGTTTTACAATCATTGACAGTAAATACAAAACATACTTCTGCTGTTAATTAACAGGTTTTAATAAAAATAATAATACATTTTATTTATGTCACACTTTTCATGAGAACGTCAACTCAAGGTGCTTTACAGAAAAATAAACAACACAAAATTCATAAAACATCTAAAAAGAAGAGTGTTAGGATTGTACTTAGAAAGATCTAGAATTTCTTCAAACAAAACTAAATCCATAAAGCACATCTAAAAGGAAATTTTTAAACCGAAAGTTTTTAAAACAAAGCAACATTAATTCATGAAAATGGGTTTAAAAAGAAAAGTCTGAAGATTCTTCTTATGAAAAGAGACCCAGAATGACTTAAAACAGAGCAAGAATTCTTTCACACAAACACGTCTAGAAAGAAAAGTCTTAATATTCTTTTTAAAACGAGATAAAGATCAAGAATTTCTTAGAGGCTCAGGAAGCTCGTTCCACAACTGTGGACCCAGTACGCTAAAACCAAAAAACAAGTGGATAACAGTAGATCGTCAGGGTCTGAGATCAACATTAAAAAAAACAAACTTGGATTTTCAAACATGTCTTGGCTGATCAACTACAGTTAAGGGAGAAATCATATAAACTATTTTTTCACTGAACTATCGCTGTAATTTCTGATCCAATCATGAAAAGTCTTTTTTCCTCAGCTGCTGATATTTTGCGTGTGAATTATGCCTTTAGCCTAAATGAAATGCATTGTTTTTGTAATATTTTATGTTGTTTTTGTTTTGTGTTGTCTGGTGTTACATTCATCCTCATGTCATCGGCTAATGCATGGCCCTTTCATTAAGCGCAGGACATTGAAACATGTGCTTCAGTCATTATGATGGATGTAAACAAGCTCACTATCAGCTTCATCATTGTCATTTTAATGGGATATTTTCTGTACTGAGTGGCACAAACATACAAAAACAAGCTCTCCATTCAATTACATGCACATTCACTCTTTTGTAGTTGTCTTTGCTGAAGTCTGTGGGTTAACAGAAGAATATGACCATTAGGGTTGATGAGTTCTCCTTGTCTGACCTCTCCTCTCCTATGCTAATGACTGTAAATGTCCACAGTCTGTGGTCCACAGTGAAAACATCTAGAAACAACAAGTTGACGATCCCATCATTCCCTCAGAGGTTTGTCAGCGTCTCTGTAGATCTTCCATCTAAATCCTGACTCTGACGCCCCAGTTGTAACCCCTAAATGTATAGCTATTTCTGTTGCTTTGATTCTCTTAATGTAATTACATATTTAATTACACAGTTATTAATTATATTTAAGTTCATTTTACGTTATGTATCAGCAGGTTAGAGCAGGGATTGGCTGCATGAGGCTCTTTTACTGTCCTGTTGTGGCTCCACAGCAGAATCAGATTCGTAGGTAAAAATAAAATAATCCTCCTTTACAGTAAAATAAAGCTCTGCTGATCGTTCAACACAGTTTAACTATAAATGGTCTTAAACTCTGGAGTTAATTTAGAACTGCTAATTCACCCTTTAACCCTGAAGATCAGCGCAGACTGCTGGTCACCATAGCAACACAGACAACAATCTCACCTAGCCCGTAGCTAATGAAACGGCAAAGAGAGAGGTTTAAGATTAACATCGATAATTTGGAGATGAATGGACTTATTAGTGTTTATAATCACTCCAGCTGGTTTCCTGATACGTTTAATCTGCAGTGAGAAACTGACAAACGCTAAAAAGTCACAAGGCTGAAGTTAGTTTCAGGTTCGAATTGTCCCGTTCCACCTTAAATGGTGCAGCAGTTACATTCTGGCACCTCAGGCACCATTTAAGGTGGAACAGGAAAATTCAAATAAGAAGCGAATGAGGAGCGACTTCAGCCTCGTAAAAAAACAAACATTGAGAGACATTTTACAAGAAATTGTTCCACTTTGTGTAAAAGTTTCCTGCTGGAGATGTGAGAAAAGTGGCTATAGCTGAGCTAAAGCTTAAAGCAGAGGAAAGTAAGTCTGCGTTTTTGTTTATATATTTTTTTAGTCTATACCAGCATATCAGCACATACTGAGACATATTTACAGCCAAGATGGTAAAATGGACATAAAGTGTTGTGGCTCCCATGTTGGTTAGATTTTTGTTGAAAGGACAAAATGGCTTTTCTTAATATTTGGGTTGCGACTCCTGGGTTAGAGTGTTTGCTGTCAACCTTTTCTTTTTGTTTCATTATCAACACTGACAAACTTTGTGACCATGCTCACACATTCCGAACACAATTCACATCACTATGGAAACACGTATTATTGATTTTTTTTTCTCAATAATAACAATAAAAGGCCAATAAAGTGTGAAACACATTCTTGTTCATGTATTCGCCTGTTTAAAAAGTCCTATAAGCTCTAAAAACTCTATGAATTGTT